AAAAGATCTCCTTAAGAAGAAAGGATACTGGGAGCTACCTAGGCTTCTGGATAAGACATTAACGCGATTTCTCCTATTTATGACAATCAGGGACAAAACCAACGAAGTAATCGATTGAACAGAACAGTGAAGTCGAAGATTTTTTCATTCATAAACGTTTATGGCATTTTTTTCAAAAGCTTAGCAATATTTATATAGTATATCTCTGAGTAGATATAAAATATTAGAGCTATTTAAAGGAGTTTTGTACATGTTATCAGTGACTTCCCATTTCGGAAAATAATAGCTGTGAAAAAGATCTTTTAATTTGGTAGGAAAAGTAATATCATAAATGCAATCATGAATGAAATAAGAAAAGTATAATCAAATGTAAAACAGAAAATATAATCATCTCGGTTTTGGATTTATAAAAATACGTAGATCTACGAGTCATATGAAATCTATTACAAAAGTAGTTTCCCTCGTACATTTTGGCATTTTCTCAGTATAAAAGTTAAACTAAAACGCGTCTTGAATCTCGAGGCGTGCTCTGACGCAGTCGCATTCACCCGTACAGCTCATGAAATCCATTATGAATGTTTTGCTATATGAGTTGATAGCATTAGTAACTATAATTTGATGTTGATGCTATAAAGCAATAAAACATCTACTGAAGTTGATTATAAAAAAAACTACTTCAAAATGTTTTGAATTGTGGCTTTAAATGCACATTATTTCGCATTAATTTTAATACTTTTAATGCTATTCAATATATATATATATATTATATTTGAGTGCATGTGTGTGTGATGATGATGTCGTGTCTATGACAAAGTGCAATTATATAGCTTCGAAGCTGTCAAAGACAGCTTTTGCAACCTCGGCAGCTCTATCAGTATAAAGTAGGTTGACTGGGTCTTCAATGCCGATGTTAAACAGTCTGGCTGGATTTCTATGAATTGTGCGTGTGTGTGTAAGAAAGAGTAATAATGAAAATATTTTTCAGAATGCATGTGTTATGGATTTCCAAGCTGTTTATAATAATCTGACTAGGTCAATCACATAAGCATAATTTCGGTCTTAGTATATATCATACGTAAATTGTTTTTCGGGTCTCAGGAAAAGAATAAAATTTTCTTCACCAATATGATCCTTCTTGCTTTGTAAAATGAAGCATAAAAATTTAAGAACGATTAGGGATTTTTGGAACAGTACTAAAAGCACCGAAAAATAACTTTGCCTCATTGAAAATTGAACCAGCTCTTAGTAAAATAAGTTTACCACTACATCACAAGAGCACAAAGGAAGAGCGCCGTTAGTTCCATATTAATGTATTAAGATAATACTTTAGAATTTACTGTAAGCTTTATAAAGTTCCGTTCATCTTTTTCTGGAACCTAGCGAATTTCTTCCTGAACAGGTAACCGTTTATAAGCTAAGATTGTATGTTTTGACATAGGTATTTAGAAAAAATGAAATCATTGTGAACAATTACAAAGTCTAATTTTACGTAATATGAAGACAGAAAAGTAAATTTTCTTAGTTTTCATATCACTGAATGGCTTTATATGAACTGATGATAGTTCAATGTAATAAAATGTGTTTTCAATTTTTCAGCAACGTGAAATATAAATTTTCTTATTCAATGGAATAAATTTCGTTAAATTTATGAATACTAAAACCCAATATGCGTGACAAAATCTCCTGTTAGCATACATAACACTCATTCTAGAACATTTGACAGTACAACGCGCATCTTCAAATAATATAGAAAATATACCTAAAACGAGTTTCTTGACGGATTTTATATAGAGTGAGTACTCTTACAAGAACCTGATTTTAAAGAACATCCATTTAAGTGATAAACAAAATCACCTATAAATGTTTGATTATCATTTAGTGACAAATAATAAGTTCCTAAGAAATCAAATAACCTTTAGTTATTGCATAATATCTTTTAATCATCTTGCAGTCCATTTCTCGAAACTATAAATTTCCTTACAATTTATGCATTTACTTGATTTACTCATCATTAGAGAAGACAGATATTCGTCCCAACAGATGTTTTCAGAGCACACTAAATATCACCCATCCTTCATTATAAACTATTAAGCATATTCATATGACAACTTACCACCTAAATACAATAAAAAGTGAGCTCAAAATTGATTAGTAACATTAAGACAGCTGTTCTGTGATTTGATTGATGAGTTTCGGTTATTCAGCCAGCTCAATAATGGATGATGGTTGAATGTAAGCCAGGAGGGGATAAACAATCCTGAGTACAGAGAAGTCGATAAATATAATTTTGATGAAGATTGATAGAAAAACGTAACTTTGACTCTGTGCACTCGTCGAATCTTTTTCTAGATACAAATATATGAATTTTCTTTCTTAATTTTCAAGTATCAGTCTAAACCTTAAAACTTATTAGTTTAGTGTAACTTTTCTGTTTTCGAAATGAGAATGAATGATGAAAATTTTGCATAAGAAATATTTAAGGTAATAAAGTAGTAAATTTTAATCGTCCAGCGTGCAACCTATAATAACGTACATTATAAATAGATGTATCTCACAAAAAAAAGAAAAAAGAAAATCTGCTATACTTAGATTTAATTATTATTTTCAACCACTTTTTGTGAAATTTGTCTTGCTATGATCAGACGGAATACTGAGAAAATAATTCACGTCTTCTAAAAATATGACGCTGATGTTGTCTGCTAGTGAACTGGAAAACCGTTCATTCTAGAAAAGATATTTTCAACAAGATTTCGGTCGTAATTTCAACAGGATTACGATGTAGTATAGATGTAAACTGAAAACTTAGCATTGAATATATTACTAGTTTCTTAAGAGTTAAGGGAAGATTACAGTTATTTAGCCATTGGGCAATTCTGTGAATCAGTATCATACAGAAAAATTTTCTTTTTATCCTTTTGATAAAAAATGGATGTTTGTTCAAAATACCATGATTTTAAGTACGTCTTTTGATACAGTCGACATTTTTATTTCAGTATTTAAGTCAAGCATTCAAGATTTTGTTTCCCGAAAATTCCCTTTAAGTGGCTTTAAGTTTATCATTGTGAAATATACTTAGTTATATTAGTTTTTCGTCATCGTACATACACAAGTTTCATAAACAAAACAATTCACTACATATGCGCCCACCAGCGGCCGAGCGGTAAAGTCGCTGAACACTGGTAGTTCGGTCCGAGGTTCAAATCCCGCGAACGGGCCCGGCTGCATGGGCGTTTTCGTGGTTTTCCCCATGTGTAACGTGTATACGAGCCAGTTTCCCTTAGAAAGTCCTCCACGAAGGCATCTCTCCCTTTAGGCAGATAGCCCTCGTGTGCTTTGCCATAATTAAATACACCACACCACACCACCACATCACTACATATGCTGTTAGTTTATAATCTAAATAGTCTGCTTTAGGTATAAGTTTAATAGAGTATATCATATTATAACCTGCTACAGATACATGTTTCGTAAACTAAAATAACTGTCAGGTTATAACAAATCAGTAAAAAACTTGTAAAATGTTTGTTTAGAAGAATTATTAAAAGCTTTTTTTTATTTAATTAATGTCAGTCAGCAATTCATCAAAGCAGAAAAATAGCATATTCATCAAATTATTTTTTCTTTCTTTTTAAAAAATCTGTCCTTTAATTTAGGAGTCAATTTTTTATTTATCAGCATTAAAAATTCTGTCTTTTTATTTACCCCTGAATTTCTGTCACGGATTAATGCTGTCTTCTATCAATAACTTAAATGAATACTCAGTTTGAAGCTTAACTTTCCTTCGTTGATCACAAACAATAAAGATGAATATTGCTGCTAATCCACCTATTTTACTTTCACATGATATCGTAAAATAAGTAAAAAATATGAGGATGAATATTCAAGCTCAAATTTAATCCTAAGCTCTAGACATCACAACTGTCAGAAATATTTTGCTTAAGAATCCTGAAGAATCTTAATTTTTTTTGTTTTGTTAAATAATCTCCATTTAATTACCTAACATATTTAATGTCATATTGGTAATTATCACATATACAAAAATAATTTTCATGAAATTCAAAGAAGTAATAAAACAAAAAAATTGCACTTTTCAGGCTCTTGAAACTCATCGTGAAATTCAGTTTCTAAAATTTATTTTAAAAAAAGAGGGAAAGTTAAGAAATAGAATTTTTAAAGAATAGACTTCATAGCCTTGTTATTAATTTACTTTTATTTTTTATTAACAATTTGTTACTATTTAGTATCACTTGCTTTTAAGGTGCATTAGAAAGAATTAGTAAAAAAGTTTAGAACAGTCAAATTCATAGTTATTTCACTATTTGACCGTTTGATTTAACAAAGCATTAAGCTTCGGATATAAGTGAAAAAGTATTATTTTGTCACCTTATATTAATATCATCTTTGATATCTTCTTATCAGGTGTTTTAAAATATAGAATTTTGAGATATTTGAGAATGCATAATATTAGGTAAATTTCATAAGAAATTAAAGAAATCATTGCAGCATTTATAATACTCAAAATGTAGTTTTTCAATATTTCAAATAAATCTTTTTAGAGCTATTGTGGCTTTCCTTAAAGCTGATAAGCTGTAATGAAGTTAAAAGCTACTATGTTATAATATTCTGGAAATTAACAGTAAGATTTTAAACCTCATTTTTAATCTTAAACAGTGATTTAGAAATGGAAGATTCTAGCATTTATGAACTAGCTAGTTAATAAATTTCATTCAAAGAAATCAAAGTTACTGATATTCGGAAATATATCTGCTAAAAATGTAAAGAGAGGATTAGTATGTTGGGGACATTAAAGAAAATTTGATGATGATATTCTCATTTCCCGATTTTAAACAGAAACATCATGATGTATTTTATGGAGCTAATTATCCAAAATGTGTAATCAAGAAAGAAACTGCGAAGTTATGTTCCTATACGATATGCTTTTCCATTAAGTGAACCTAATCTAATCAGAACTTTTTAAACAGTTTTGAAAGACAGCTTACCTTTCCTCCGCTCTCTCATCTTGAGATTCGTATTCTGCACTTTCCTCTGTATCCATATTTCTGTGAAGGAAAATGAGATACCATTAGAAGAAATGTAATGACAAGTGATAATCTTTACCAGAAAAGAAATTTATCATAATGGGCTGCATATATATAAACTCACTTAAATAGTATTTTAACTTCAACGACTACAGAAAAAAAAGGTATTCATAATATTAATGCCTCTTTATTTATTTATTTATCATTGTGTTATTATTATTTTGCATGATGCAATAAAAATCCTATACTTACTTTCCTGCATTTAAGTCAAAAACATATTTTTATTTTTATTGGTAAACGTGAATTTAGCATAATAATGATTATGTTGTGGGGATATACTAAAACAACAATTTAGAAAAAAAAGTATGCTTAATCATTTTAAATCAAAATTAATTTATATATAAAAATCAAGATATATAATATTATAACGGCCGAAGAGCATCAGTGTACGAATTTATAGGCTTTGACTTGCTGATTCCAAGCACGTAATTAGTTTTTCTTTGTCAAATCACACTTTCGTGATGAGTTACATTTCTGAACGCAGAAATGCAAGTAATTTTTGGTTAGGTTTCCTGTACAGCGGTTTTAATTTAATTACAGAATGTTTGCCGATGCTTTTATGTTAAGTTTTTAACGCATTTATACTATTAATTTAGTAATGTGGTTTCTCTTTCATTATTAAGTTTGAAGATGACTTACGGATACATTTATACTTTTAAATATAGAGTATTTAGAATTTTTAAAGCAGGGCGTGTGTGTGTTTATGGCAAAGCCTCGAGGGCTATCTGTCTAAGGGGCGAAATGCCTTCGTGGAGGGCTTTCTAGGGGAAACTGTATCGTATACCCGTTACACATGGAGAAAACCACGAAAACGCCCATGCAGCCATCCCGTTCGCGGGATTCGAACCTTGGACCGAACTACCAGTGTTCAGCGACTTTACCGCTCGGCCGCTGGTGGGCTTTTAAAGCAGAAAAGGTAAAAAAAATCCTCTATGCTTTTTCTGGGATTCAAATTGCAAACCCTCTGATTGTTAGCTGAAAGTGCTTATCAATTACACCATATAGTCCCGCAGTAAAGAGGGAGAAAATACCTTAAATTCTCCCCCACTTAAAGAGTGACTGGAAAGACGGGGACGTTATCACCATATCTTGGCAGTGATGAATTATCATTCACTTTATTTAAATTCGGATGTCACTATATATTCTATTTAGAATTTTGGGAGCAGAAAAGGTGAGAGAATCCGCTATGCCGTCGCCGGGAATCGAAATGCGTGCCTTCCAGTTGGCTACCTGAAGATACTTTCCAATAACAACACGAAGACACTTGGTAAGAAAGAAAAAATATTTTATATGAAGTTTGTATTTATTTGCATTTTAAATAATGTACTTGGGTATTAGTTTTTTTTATTCGTTATTTTTTTAACTATTACTATTATTGTTTATATTACGTTACTTTTTCCTAAATGCGAAATTATTTTTCTGCATTTTCGATTTGATTTGCGTATTGTTACAGAATACATATACCTTTTTCTTTACTTAAAAATATTCTTCTGAGAGACTAATGCCTTTCTGAATATAATCATAAGTCTAGATGCAAAAACTTTCCGGATATATTCTGATTAATTTTTCTATGTAAGTAACAGCGATATACGATTCCAAAACAATTGACATTTGATATTCAAGGTGATTACAACAACGAATGGTTGTTAAGCTTGAATATGTTAGTTGAATATTCTATTAGTCTATTTCAAAGCATTTCGTATCGAACGAGGTTGCATTATAAATTAGGGTTGTTGAAAATCTTCGTGGAAGACTTCAGAAGAGTTCATTCGAGAGCGTGTTTTGTGCTTTAGTGAGAATATGAAAATTTCTAAATTGAAGAGAAAATATTCCTACAGCCATATATTAGACAAGTTATGGAAAATGATTCCCTTATTGACTCTCTCCTTGTGTTGGAGCTAGAAGTATGAGCTGTTTCCTAGTGTTGGAGCTGGAAGTATGAGCTGTTTCCTAGTGAGTGTGAAACTCTTGGGTAATCACAAAATTCTGGCTTACAAGAACGGTGTTGAGAATTTACTTACTGACTATGAGAAATGATGTTGTCACTATCCTTAATATATTCATTCTAAGTTGACAATGAAACGTTTTCTGAGTAACCTTTTAGACCTATTAAGGTCTTCGGAGTGAGAAAATCGAGAAAAATCAATTATATCCTCGCTGGGATTAGAACGACGCATCTTTCGATTGCCAACCGGCGGTGCACCAAGTATCCGAATGCTGTACTGAGACCAAAAGGATCACAGAAAACCTCACACGAAGTATTTCGTAATTGTCACAACAATAATTCATTGTAACAGATAATTTAAAAATGATATACTCTTGTTAAACACACGCCGATGGTTACACACACACACACACACACATATATATATATAGAGAGAGAGAGACTTACACACAGGCGCAAAAGTTAACCACTACCTTACACTGTACATACATTTTAGACTACACATTATATTAGCATAATTTGTATAAAGTAAACTGCATGCGGTGGGAACAAAATAAGTAACATTTTTTGTTAAATGGAAAAGAAATGATAAATAAATAATAATAAATACATAAAGTTTTATTTCTGATGAATAAGTTTCTCTTTGTTGACCAGCGGGATCTGGCTGATTAAAGTTTTTATTTTGGATGGAACTTCTAATGTTTAACGTTTTAGCACGTACTTTAATTAACAGTGCAAAATTAGTAAGTTCAAATTATTGCAAGCTGCTGCATTTAGGTTATTTGCTTTTTGTTGCCAAATGGAAAAAATCAACAAAAATTTTAATATATACAATGAAATTGTATTGCTGTATCTTCCCAACACGTTTTTAACTCTGAAAGGAAATAAATTTAATTTTGCTGGTGGTTTGTTTCCACTATCACAAATTACTGTAAGTTCGGTTGATAATTTGAAATTTCATTTAATCATATTTTTCCTTATGTGCAAGCAAAGTAAACTTTTCTTACAATAATTAAAGGAACTGTCAATAAAATTTCCATTATAAAAATCAGTGTATTATATTTTGAAAGTTTTCTATTAATTATTATATTAATTAAAATTATAAAAAATATTAAAAAATTATATTTTGTCAAACAAATCTATGTGTATTCAGTTTAGAAATTAAATATCAAATTAAAATATTTGAAAATTTATGTAAAGAAACCGTGGTTTTATTTATTAATTGACATTGTGGAAACTTGATCAAGGTTTTACCTCTACAGCAAAGATTTACTTAAGGACACAATCTGTTAAAAAAATCCAAATTTTAATTTTATAGAAACACTTTTTACCTTATAATACATGTTCATAATTTTACATTAAAAACCGAAAAATTTCCTTATGTGCTAAAAATAATAGTTTGCTCAATAATTTGCAATTACTTACTCAAATATCTTATGCCTCAATTGTTCTATATTTTCTTCTTTCGTTTCCATCATTTTGTTTCTGTAAAATAAGACTTAAAATTGATTTGTGCGCCTTACTTTCCACAAACGTTTATAGTTATGAGCTATATACATATAGCTTAAAGAAGGCAGACATGAATTATAAAAAGAAATACATTTTCAGGCTGACATGTGTATGTATAATATTCACTGGATATGCATATATTGTTTAGTAATACATTACTAACATCTTAAACAGTATTCTATATAAACATTGTTGAGTTTTCTGCAAGGAAAAAAGAAAAGGAAAGAAACAGTGTATAAATGATTGAATAAAAAGCAGTAGAATTGTGTACTATTTCACAAAATTTTTAAATATGTTACCAACCCAGCCAAAGTCTTGACACCTAATGAAAACTTCATTTAAACCTCTCAGTTGACAGGCGATTGATTACACCTCTAGGCTAAAGAAGTTATACGTTTTTTTTTCTGAGTGGCCCAAGGAACCTTACTTATATCATTGCAATACAGAGATTTCAAGAATAAATATTTCTCGAATGATTGCTTTTAGACATTTTAATAAATGAATCGAATAAGATTGGCCATTGGACTATACTTTTGGTCACGTTATATTTCAGTAAAAGTACGCAAAATTTAAGCTTCCTATGATCCCCGAGGGGGAAAAAGTTGCCAATGAGAAAAATATTTTCTATGGCTGAATTAATCAAACACAAATTCAAACTAAACACTTATTTTTCTACAAGCAAAATTAATTCAGCTTATATGAACTAAATTTTAGGGGAAATAAAAATGTACGACAGAAGTTAGTTGCAAAGTTAAGTTTTAAAAGGTGAATGATTAAAATATACCTTTCGCTTTGAATAAACATCAAAGACAGAAAGGACGTTCAAATTTGCAAATTTTTCAAAAATTTAAAATTTCATTTTTATTCCCCCCAAAAAGAATTTAAGTAATAATAAGTAAAAAAGGTTTAGTTTTTCTTTTTCCCATTTCCTCTCTTCTGTTGTCACTTATTCTTTCCAATGATGTTCTTTGCAAATGCTTTATGCAAGCAATTTCCGTTATACGTATATCGTTCTTACACCATTTATGGTGTTTCAAGCACTGATCTGTTTGTGCGGATAAAAAATTGGGTGTTGAAATTCGAAAATTTCGCAATTCTAGATTCTACTAGATTTCTAATTAAATTTAATGCACATGGGACTTCATGGATATAGTAAGTATAAAAGTGTAAAACTGTATGTTGTTATTTTCATTTTTTTCGAAAAGTAGTAACTGTATCCCTTTGAAATGATATATTTATGTAAAAATATGCATAATACACATAATAACAAAATATCTTGAAGTTTGAATAAATAATAAAAAAAATTTTCACTTAACTTCCCGTGTTACCTTAATTTAGAACTAATGGTTTCACACTTATAATTTGTACAAAAATTAAAATTTTAAATTTTGTATTTAATGAAATTCAGTTTTATACTAACTCCAAGTCGATGTTATGTTCTCCAGGGAGGAGATTGGAGGTTCGAATTCCGCGAACGGGCTGGCCGCATGGGTGTTTTGTGGTTTGCCCCATGTGTAACGTGTATACGAGCCAGTTTCCCTTAGAAAGTCCTCCACGAAGGCATCCCTCCCCTTAGACAGATAGCCCTAGTGTGCTTTGCCATAATTAAATACACCACACCACCAGGAAGGAGATTGATTTTTAATCTTTAGCAGAGTAAATAACAACTTACTGATTGGCATTTTTCCATAAAATACTGCTTAATTTGTACATATTTTTGATAAAAGGTATCACGCCATCGAAATTGTCGTTGAAATAAGGCCCTACCTTGCGGTTTATTTCTCAAATAGGCTTCATTATAACAAATACCGTTATCATTTCATGACACATTTAGTCGCGCATTCGTTTTGCATACCCTATAATTTATTTTGTAACAGAAAGATCTGAGAATCAATTTTCTAAACTTCAGTCGTTAGAAGAATAACAACATCTTTATGTGAATTGTGCAAAGATGCTAAGAATCAATGTAGAAATCACACAATGCAAAGCTGCCGTCATTTATTCACACAGATACTTTTAAAATCTCTATCATGCAATTTTTTACGCCTAAGAGATTTCTTTTTTCCCAGACATTTTAAAATTGAATGAGAAGTGTATTTTCTCTGGCGTTTCGTACATTGATATTCCACTCCATGCGTTTAAAAGATGCATCTTATGAGTTTTGTTAGTGCAGTTAAAGTTCGAAATATGTGAAATAAATTTCAGGCATTTCTTGCTCTTCAATTTTGCTGCGACCCGAGCAGCCGGCGGAAATGCGGGTTTTAAAAGATTCTCACATCAGCAATTTAAGAAAAAGGGAAAAAAGCCAAGTGCGTTTTATATGCCGAAGAAATTGTATCACACTTACAGTGAGGAAATTGTTCGGGTCGGAACAAAAGGGTTTCAAAAGTCTTGTGCTTTCTTGATAATATTGTAAGGAATGAAGTCATAAATTCAACCAAGATGCTTGTTTCTCGATATGTGTCCAAAGTAACGCCGTAGATAGTTTGACTACGTGTGAGTGAACTTCCGTTACAAATAAAATTTTTAACTCACTGGACAGAGTTTGTAGATTCCTTGACAGAAAGAATAAATGGGCATAGTTATTGTGAAGCTGAAATGTAATTGTTTTGTGGTTATGGATCTATTATTTCCCGTAACACGTTCATAGAAAGATAGAAGAAAAATTACTGAAGAAAAATTACCCATATAATCAAATTTAAAATTTAAAAAAATATAAAAATCTGAAAGCTTTCAGATTTTACATTACGCCCAAAGGCTCGTTTTTTTAACGTTTTGTGTGCTACCTTTATTTATTAAATATTATGTTCTTCGAACTTAACCATAAAATTTAGTTCAACAACAATATCGCAAAATAATTTTAAAATGAGCATATCTTTAGAATTTCCGATACAGAGTCTCGCGCGCTGGAGATAAAAATGTTTTTTTTTTCCTACAGTGTTGCTATTGCTCGCCTTGAAATCGTTGAGTTTGTTAAACAAAAATTTCTTTAAAGTTTTACAAAATATGAAACAGATAATAAAACTAATTCCAAATTTGGGCTTCCAGATGCCCATATTCGCGTGGAAACGTATGTTATTCAAAATTTGATGGCACTACCGTTGTTTTATCATAATGCGAGAAAAATACATACATTTACGCAGATTCTTCATTATTTAATTTCCTTAAATATCATACAGAGCTCTAATATTTAGTGGCAACAATTTGAAAAGTGAACCGGCATTTCAACGCAAGATGCCAAAACGAAATTAATAGTCCTTTTTGGGCAAATTGCCTCTTTGGACTAACAAGTAAAAACTGTGTAGTCAGGTTTTAATTTAAACCTTTCTAGTTTCAGATTTAAAATGGAAATGTCAGGGTGAATTCTTTTAAAATAGCTAAGAAATAGTTAGAAGATGTATTTGCATACTAACAGTGTAATATTAAGTATAGTATACGATCAGATAAGAAATTTTTCATTGCAGCTTAATTTCTTATAACAATAAATTGTAACGACGTGCATTCATGAATCATTAAAATTACTTTCAGAAGTGGCAATGAATTTACAGTGCTTATAAATTAAACTGAAGTCACTTGATTAACTGGTCTTTGAAACCACTTATTTAATTATTTTTAATAAGTAGATACGAAATTCAGCTACAACTAACGAGTAAGAAAACAGAGTTGATTCTGCATAAAAGCTTATGAGGCGTGCCTTCGTGGTGTAGTGGTTCTGCACGCTGGGCCGGTATTCCAGAGGTCCGTGGTTCGATTCCCGGCGAAGGCGGTTGCTAATTTTTCATCTCTTAGGCTTTTCCAATTAACCTAATGTCTCTACGGTGGCTCCCGAAATAAAAAGGGAATGAGGATTCTCCACACCCAGGATATGGCGATTGAACCCCAGTCGTCCTTTAAGAAAGGGAGTATGTGAGATATTTCTCCCACTTTCCTAGCGTACTTTCGTGGTGTAGTAGTTCTGCACGCTGCACGCACGTTCTTTTTCACCTTGCCTGCTTCCAAAAAATACCTAATGTCTCTATGAGCTAATGAACTAAGAATATGAAAATATGAAATGCTTGAACGAATTCCTTTGAAGTTTCTTTCGCTAGTATATTGATAACTGTTTAGTATGATATCAAATTCATTTTAGTTCAAATTTTGTCTACTTTCAAGATTTTAAGACATAAAAAAGAGAGTAAAGCGAGAATAAAAATTGCAAATGCTATTATTGCATTGTTTTAATCTCTTTATTGCCTATTTTATTTCCTCAGACTTTCTTTGTCTTTTGTAATAATCACAGGTATTTTCTTCCGACTAGAAATACAACACAAAAAACTAAGCTATAATTGTTTCTGCTTTGTAACTTTGCTTTAATATTAGTCTCACATACAATGACAGAACCGCTAAGAAAATTATCTAGAACATTCAAACTAGAAGAAACAGTCCGTTTTCTCAGTACTCGGGTGATTCTATTTGTGTATCAAAGAAACAAAAGTAAAAAAAGCAGCTTTCTATTTCAGTAAATGTTTATTTTATGTTTCATACACATAATATAAAATGTTTATTTTATGTTTCATACACATAACATAAAATATTTATTTTATATTTCACAAACATGTCATAAAATGTTCATTTTATGTTATGTGTAAAACAATTACGCTATTAAACCATCACAAATTAGCCAGGTATAGACTTTTGTATCATTCCGATTTGTCTCACTCGATAAAAGACTGCGATAACCGACTAAAAACTGCGGAATGATTTCCGAACCGTTAATTAGTTACCCATTGCATGTGATTAGCAAAAAATTGTCCAACGATGTTCAGTTAGATTAGGTTAAGGCAATTTCAATAAAGCGAAATACACTATCCGTCTAAGAGGATAGATGTCTTTGTGGAGGATTTTTCTAGGAGAACTGACGTAATTTCTAAGAGAATGTTCGGTATAGTGCTTAAAGCTCATAAAGCGTAATTGCTACGAAACGCGATTTTTTTTTA